CAAGCATCACTTTGAATAACCACGGGATTAACAATTGACATGTGAGTAGAGCCAGATGCCCTACCTTCCAATTTTAGCACCGCCTCTCCCTGGTCACTCGCCATTGTTCACGATACACACCACACACACGTACACAGCACACGAACAAATTTGTTGCAGGGATGCAACGACACCATTGAAAAAAAAAAAAAAAAAAAAAAAAACTACAATGATTTCTGGTCCCCTACGACAACAATACACGACAGCAATGTTTGTTGAATTATGGACAATCTTGACTTGCTGCAGGGATGCAGCAGAGACCACAGACTGCCGAATCCTTTTTTTTTTTTTCCTGGTTTCACGATAGCAGCGACACGGTGGGAGTCATAGGGTTACGGTTGGTTCTGATGCCAAATTGAATTTTACGGCTTGATTTTTATTGTATTGTATAGAGGGAAATAGATACAAGATACAATCCTTATTCTATAAGGAAACAATAAGGGACACACATGTCCCTCTTAATAAGGGATTCCTAATATTTACAATATATATACATGCCCTTTTTTAAATCACTCATGGCAACATTTTTGATAATCACTTTTTTCAAAATCACCTCATTACCAACCTAGGGCTGAGTTTCCTGAGTCTATTTGAGCAGAACAACCGTTCAGGAATAATTTCCACCTAGATGTCAAATGTCTCTATACTTTTTTATTGAATGTATGAATTTATCCTGTTCTTTTCTTATGTTACCTTATTACCGTGCCGCTTGTTCCTTGTTATTATAGTCAGCTGGCATGAAGGGTTGACTCTGGGATGTTTTCTTAGAGCGGATACAAGTCATACTATCAGATCAATGTACAATGTCAATTTGAAATTCGGTTCATTACAATAAAGAGATAGAAGGACAAGGTTTCCAGTCTCATATATCCCAACTTAAGCTTCGGATCCCAACTGATATTATTGACAATGGTATGTCTTTATCTATTATCTTGTTTTTCTTGTCCAGGTATGCCTCAACTTCTACTCTTTAATCTGTTCAACTGTTTCTCCGATTCTTATTACTCACACGGAAATGAAACCGTTTAATCTGTGATTACATTAACTAATGTTGTTCAGATATGATGCATCTTCTGCTTTCCGACCTTCAATATTCTTTACTTTGATATGTTGAAATATGTCCCCCATAAGAGATTATTCCCAGATATCTCTGGGGGGCCACTGAAGTGAAGCATCATAGAGAATCAAACCCTACAAAAAGTCCTCTCATATCTTTTCTTTTGATGTATGAATATCTAGCCCTTTCTTAGCAGGGATCCCGTTTTACTGTAGCAAAAAACCGGACCTAGGGCCCATAGGGAATTCTGGAGTGCATTTTAGCTACTAGCAATTTGAGAGAGAATAATCGGAATATAAGTTGAGAAAATGGAGAGAAAACAAGATGGCCGAAAGTAGAAGTACGGATAGTGAGATACTATATGTATGTGGTTAGAATTAGTTTTTGAGATGTTACTCACACTAGGAATAAAGTGGTATAGGGTGCTTTCCTCTCCAAGTTGCAGAAAGGGTCGGAAAAAGATGGTGATTAGTTTGTCATTTTACTGTGGAGAAACCCAATTGTCAATGACTATATTGCCCATGTTGGTCTGGATTCTTTACTTCATACGCAGGATTGAGTAGAACAGTATCTCATTGACCAAGAAAAATATATTTGGCACGATCACACAATAAATAAGATAGATAAAAGGGGTATATTTCCTGTTACACCCAAGATTTTGCCCTGCCACGAGGGTTTAACCCTAGTATGCCTATCTCAAAAATGGAACAAATGAAAAACAGCAGTGTAACTAGAGCCATTTGTTTATTGTTTTGCCATTTTGTTTAACTGTATCCTTTCATATAAAGTTGAAGTTTCACGTAGTAAATACCTTGAAGTTGTTTTTAGTTTTTCTTGTTTTCTCTCCCTCGATTCTCTCATCCTTTTTCTTTGACCATCTGTTGGAGAAAAGCAACACTTCGGAATGTCTACTATATGATGTGCAGATTGATACTAGAAATCTGCTTAGAGATCACACATGGATAGGCAGGGTGTTCAACGATGAAGAGTAAATGTTTCATGTTCGATTACGGGTGAATGTTACGGACTGGAACCCTACACCAGATAGGAATGAGTTCGATCAATTCATGGGTTCACAAGGGTAGGAAAATAGTATCACCTAACAAGTTGATCTTTTTGGGTTTGGGTGGCAAACATCCATGCCATGACATTACCTTTGTATGGTTATGGATCATTAGTCCAATGAGGAAATTAGTCCACAAAAACCTTGTTGCGTGGGAGAAAAAACTTCAATATGAGCGTCCAGATCACGTGACCCGTCATCGATATTTTAACTCTCAACCAATGAACGTGTCCCAAACCCCTTGCTCTGCCATTGTACCGTAGTAGTGCGGCAGCCTTATTGAATACTCCCTCATTCTAAGAATACAATGACAACAAAGTTTTATCCTACTAATTAGAGTTGATTGTATGAATCCTATACCACCATTACATTTGGTTTTGCGCCAAATGTTCCATTAGCTCTAAGTGCTCCATGTCTTTTCTTAAAATCTCTTTCCAAGTCTTCTAAAGTCTTCCTCCATCCCTTTTTTCATAAGACCCTATCTCCATAATCACATTTTTTAACCGAAGTATCTGCAGGTCTTCTGTTCACATGTCCAAACCACATTAACCGATCATCTCTTATTTTATCTTTAATTGTAGTCACTCTTACTTTACCTCAAATATCCTCGTTCTTAATTCTATCACTTCTTATGTGGACACACATTCAACGAAGTATTATCATCTCCACTACACTCATATTTTGCACGTGTGATGCATACTCATCTTCCAAAATATGGTTGTACTGTCATTGAACTTTATGCAGCTAAATAGTAGGTAATAATTGCTAGGTTGTCTTACTATATGGCATTGCATATCACTAGTTCAAAGTAGTACTTAATTAGAAGCAAGATTCTTCTTCCAAATAAATAAAAGAAGAAAGTCAAAAAGGAAATATATACAAGTCATTTATCCCCATCAAAAGAGAATCTCAAATTATGAAGTGAACTATACAAAATCGAGTAAAAAACAATTTGTTAAAAAAATGGTGTCCCAAATTATTCGTCATCGTATGCGTGTGTGTACGTGTGTATGAAATTATAATAATAATACAGACTCAGAAAAAAGGGTAAAGAAATCTTTCTGCCAATAAAAGGCTACTTAATTTGTCTCCAAAATATGTATCATGATCACAAGTTTAGTCTAAGACCTGATTAGAGAACAATGAAATCTCTTTTAAGATTATTTAGTTGGTAGGTGCCGTACACTTGGAATCACAAAACCACCATCGTCAAAATTCCAAATCCAGCACTGAAAACATGAACCACAAATTTATAGAAACTTACCAGACCAAATCTGTTCTGTATCCTGTTCTGTGCTGCATATTATTATATAATGGACCACTAATATTGGTTCCTTTCAATTAACGAGCCATTCATCAATAACAGTAAGTTATCAGCTGACACATATAATAAACTGATTTATTAAAAGGAAAAGTTTATATTCACATTTCAAACTGTTATTTGTTTGAAAAAATAAATAAATAAATAAACTTTTTTCCTGAAACGAGTTGAGTATTTTTCGAGCTTAATTAAATTATTAATCGTCACTCCTAGGCTACTAGAAGGGGATCTTCTTTCCTAATTAGAAGAGGATCTCATAGAAACAATGCCATAAAAGTGATTGAAGAAGCATAAGATGCTTGAGTTAGTGCAGGGAAGAGTCAGCATTTAATCAAAGTTTTTGCGACTTTGAAGGTGTTGGGCTAGTCAACTTGCCCATTTTTTGAACCAAAGTAGTGAGACAGTCTAAAAGGAGTTAAAAGTAGGCAGTCTTACTTACCAAATACCATCGAATTCCAAACATAAGTGCTCTATGACTTGGTCTATTTGAATTCAAAACTCAGCATCCAGTGCCTTTCTTTACCTTTTGTTTTTTCCTGGTGGAAAGCAACTAGTCTGACTGCATAGTCTAAAGACTAGTTAGGGAAGATTTAGATTAGGGAAGTGATTTCCGCAACGTCTTTTCTTCCCCGAACAGATAAAGCACAATGTGAGATGCTCATAGATTATTTGATTGCATAACTCAAAGGAGAATCAATGGAAAAAATAAACGAAATTGTGCAAAAGGAGAAAATGAGTAAGCGGGAATCATTCTTTCTAAATTATTCCAAGCAGACAAAGCACGATGTGAGATGCTCATAGATTTTTCAGCAATTTTAATTTTTCCCGTATTCTGTTAAGTGGCAAAGTTTGAGCCTTTGTGGCAAAAATCGAAGTACTAGACATTTGACTAAAATTCATTGGGTAGAGAAAACCAAAAGCTTGGAAGATCCCCGTGTGTATTAAGTTAATCATGATTAGTAACTAATCCTGGTCATAAGATTCATAATTAATATGCAGGTGAGATGCTAAGACGTACTAATTATGCTTTCACCATTTGATTAAAGATGCTTTATCTTCACTGAGATGCTATCTGATCTGATGTATAGATACCCTCCCGCATTCCATTCTTCACTAGAGGAACCATTTTTAAGGTCTCAGATAAAGAACAGTCAAACTGTTCAGCTTAGCATCTTGCTTTAAGATCCTTAAGACGGGAGAAAATATTCAGTAAGGCAACCTAATCGGTAAGTTGATTCGGCCACTTTCACAAAAGACCGGTGTACATTGGAAGTATAACCTATGTGGGATTCGATGTGGGCCTTGGCCTCGTCCCTTTGAGACTGTGTGACTCACGTGGTGCTGATCAAATTGCCCTACCTAAGTTTTTCTCGCAAACCGGATTCCAGAAAGTATAATCAATCTCTCTCTCTCTCTCTCTCTCTCTCTCTCTCTCACATTCATGCTCTTGTTCATCTTTTAGATGCCTTCTGCAATAATTCACCACTACCTTTTCACATAACAGAATATGAAATCCAGAGTGGGGCAAGAACATCAAATCCATAGGGTTTGAGATGCTTCAACTTTCATAATTTGAAATTCCAAGAAAAAACTTGGATCCTGTTCCCCTCAAATACTGCTTGGCTAACTCAAAGTTCTGAATAACATATTTACATTAAACCATGAAAATAGAGCTCAGATCAAGCTAAACTAATGAACTAAAAGACCATATGATGGCATGTGAAGCTGCAGAGGATTGAGGACAGGAGAGATGCCGCTGCTAGATCATCCGTGCGGGTAGTGCTGCGAGGATTGCATCTGGAAACTCAAATTTTGCGGTCCATAGTACGAATTATTAGCAGCACCTTTGAGCAGGTCCTGCCCCTGCATTTTTAGTCCATACGAACTAATCCCATAAGGATGGGAAGACATGAACATATTTCCATGCCCTTGATTAAAACCCATGTTTACTCCACCGCCTTGCGGCTGCTGCCACTGAAATGGAACCCTTGCGGTGGCAGCAGAATTCGGATGCGGAGGCAGCTCTGGAGAGAGAGGACTTTTGTTGTCTGGAGACGGAGTTCTCATGTCGTTGAGATTGACAGTTGTTATGTCATGGATGCTGGCTCTTCGCTTATCCTTGCCCCCGGAAATCTGCCTGATGAAGTACTTCTGTGCGTGACTAGCCACCTGAGTAGGTGTTCGTGTCACCACAAAATTCCGCGAGATGTTCCTCCAGTCCCCCTTGCCATACTTCTTCAGCCCCATTAGGAACAGCCTGTGCAGAATCATCAAAATATCATGTCAAAACAATGTCCGAAAAACAAATTGCTGTAAAAATTTCTCGACCGATATAATTTTCATCAGAAATTTCGACATCTTAGCAGCGCTTCATAGGCAATACCAAACTTATACCGAAATTTCGCGCTTTTTTGTTGATCATATACTCGAAAAAGTTAAAACTTCAATCCAATTTATTTCAACAGATCAAAATGTTTTATATTAAATGTACATTGGAAAACTTACTTGTGTTCTTCCTCAGTCCACGGAACCCCCTTCTTTCTTTCGTGATCTGAAGGGCGATTCAGCGAAGATCTCTTGCCACCAATCCCGCAAGCCTGCTGTTTGAACCCCTCATAGCCGCCATGTCTGTTCACCCACTCCAATGTGAATGGAGAGGCGCTGTATCCCGGAATCGGAACTAACCCTGCTTCTATCTGGCCAACATCAGCTTCCAATTCCTCGTACTGCTTCTTCACGTCTCTCACCGTCTTCCCCGGTATCATCGCGGCCACCTGGTGCCACCGGTCAGGCGTGTCCCTGTCGTACACCGCCAGGGCGTTTTCGAACATTTTGTTCTCCGCCGAAGTCCATCTCGCGCTCTTGCTCTCTTCGACAAGCCATTTCGAAGTCGAAGAGTAGGACGAAGGGGACAGAATCTCCATCTCAAACTTCATACGATCGAATTAAAGAGCTCCAATTCACACTAACATAACGAAAAACGCAAAGAATTTGGAGAAACAGAGCAAGAGAAGGAGAACCCTTAAGAGGAAATGCAGAGAGAGAGAGAGGTGGAGATTTCAGAGTGGTGCAATGAGTGTTAAATCAAGGGGCATTCTGAAGGGAATCAGAATACCTTTTCTCTGAGGAATCCAGAAAAGAACCCAACTTTTCAAAATCGAAAACGAAATCTTGAAAACCAAATTAGTTTAACTTGCTCCAAATCCAAAAACCCCAGAAGCCCTAATGGGATCTGAACCCATGGAAGCTTCAAAGATCATAGACAGAGAACCAAACTGAAACCGTTTTCAGAAAATGGAAGTTGGAATCTTGAGCAGGATTTAAAAAGAGGAAAGCTCACTTATATCTGCAAGTTCTTGTTTTTTCTTCTTCTTCTTCTTCCAATTCTAACACACCCCAATTAGAAAAGACAGAAACTGAAGAGAATGGAGAAAACCCAATTGGGGAGTGGAGTGAGAGGGGCTCTGAATTTTAGAGTAGGAGTGAGAAGGAAAAGTAGGGAAAGGTTTCTTCTTTCTTCCTTTTTTCTCTGAGGCCCTCTCAGCAACAAAGAAAAGAGAAGAAAGAAAAAACTAAAGTGTAGTGTTTGAGCGATGAATGGAAAAAGAAAACCATAGGGAGCTCATACAAAAGCAAAGCTTCAAGAAATGAATATAAGATCATGAGAGAGTGTTTTTTGGGGGGCGGGGAGTGGGGGGTGGGGGGTGGGGGGGTGGGGGGTGAGGAGAGAGAGTATGAAGGTGGGTAGCTGTGATTGGAGGGTAAGGTGATTGTAGATACTTCAAATTATGAAAACGTTCCCTCTTATTATAATACACACTCACTCTGTTTTTTGGGTTTTTTTATTGGTTTGAAGGTCAAATTTCCTTCTTAATTTTGAGTTGTGAGGAAACAATGGGTTGGCAACTGATGATGATTGATGGAAGTTCACCCTGTAATAACTTGTCTATTGCAAGAAAACTTTGATAAAACTGTCTGGCACATTTTTAGAAACACAATTTTAATACGATTTTGTGAGAGCAGATGGTGACACTTTTGTTGAGAATTCTTAAAACATTACTAGGGGAGTGTGCAAATTAAATTAGCAAAATTGTGTTATAGGAATCTATGCGGTATGTTCTTTCTTGGGAGAGTGCTATAATTGCCTACTTCTTTGCTCATTCCCTTTGACCAAGGGCAAGCACATATAAGTTGCCCTTACTATTCACTTTGAATAGTACTTGCCCCTTTGCAACTCCACCTATTTGACAAGGGTAACAACAAGGGCGCGGGCAAGTACTATTCACAATTTTTTTTTTTTAAGCCTTGATATTTAAACGAGTGTTTAATTCTAATGAATGATTCCAAATACAAGGCAAAAGCATAGCATAACCTAGGAGATAAAATCAGTGTGGTTCGGTTCGTCTTCTCTTGGAGTATGTGGAATTTCCTTATCTTCTGCTACAAATGTCAAATAGCTTATTCCCATGCTTTCAAATTTTTATAGAGATGCTCTTAGTGCCACTAGCATAAACTCCTTCCGCTTTTTCAATGGCTTATTCCCAAGCTTTCAAATCTTTATGTAGATGTTTATACCTACTCGACAGAGATTGCTCGGTCCGGATGTGCCTTAAATTTGAAAATGGAAAACAAATATGGAAGAGTGTAGTAAAAATGAATATTGAGTTGTGATGGAGAACTGAAGAAGAAGAAGATTGAGTATTTATAGAACAACAATATAAAAAATTCTAATTTTTTTCATTTTCCATATTTTTTTTTTTTATAATTTGTTTCGATTTTTCTGATTTTTATTTTTATTTTTTAACTTTGAATTAATTGTTGCCGTTGATTTTCAAATTGATTTGAAATCAAAGGCATCATATTGTGCCACATGTCGCAACGGTATTATTTTTAATTTGTTTTACTGTTGGAAATCCAATGGCCCATCATCTAACCGTTGGAAATCTAACAGTCCACAAAGCGCCATGTTAGCTAGTTGTTGGAAACGTCTCTGATTTCGAGTCCGTATCCTTGCCGGATCCTCTTTGTGAGGATCTTGGAGATTCGTAAATCATATATGTTCATCGTATATCGTGTGGTCAGAAATCATTTTAAATATTTTTATTTAAAAAGAAACATAAATAGTACTTGACAAAAACTGACCACACGATGTACGATGAACGGACACGATTCATGGATCCCCAAGATCCTCACCAAAAGAATCCGAAAAGGATCTTGTTGGTCTAGTTTATGCAGCAGCAGGGCTCACCGTTGCAATTTTTGTCAACCGCTCTCTTTTTTAGGTGGTTGTGTTACACGTGCCTGACAGAAAAAAAAAATTAAAAAAAATTGTGCAATGATGTCAGCTTACCCGAAAGCAGTAGGTCGGGCTTGAGAAAGTTGGGCAATTGGGCTGGCAGTGGTTGACCACCACTTGCCTTTGCTTATTGGACTGTGGGGAAGGTTAATTTCTTGGGTTGGAGTTGGAGGGCAATATTATTACCTTTTTTTCTTGCCTTCCACCAACCAGTGGAGAATACTCTAAATGGCTAGGAAAATCATGTTTGCCTATTGGACTCACCACTAGCATGTAGGCTAGTATCGTATCTTTGAAAGTAAAACACGAAATTCCGTTATTTGTTTGGAATGTGACCATAGCATACAAAAATTATAGGCAAGTCCTTCGCAAAAAGCACGCGACCCTTGTATTTAGGTCTTATCAGACTCCACAATATTCTCATGAAAATTGACATTGTCTAACAGCCCTAACGAATTTTCCACTATGCTGCATGTCAACAAAAGGAGCCATTTTAATCCCAATCGCTTCTTCAAAACCAACCTTAAGAGCAAGACTTTTTTATTCTTTTGAAAAAAAAAGAAAAAAAAAATATTTTGATATATAAGCGCCTCAATTTTGAATTATTTAGATTAAACATCCATGTTTTTTAGTGATTTGATTAAACTTTTTTTTTGTCATAATTTTGGTGCTATATGCACATTATATTGTAATAAATTTTCTATAATCTAACATTTTGATTACACTCTCCTCCGTTAGAGATAATTGTAAAAAAAAAAAAAAAAAGTTGGTTAGATTCAATTTATTTTCACAATAATGCTACAATTCAGCAATAATTATCTACGATTTAAGATATTTTCTTTCCAAAATTGTTTAAAATATTTTTAAATCCCCCAAAATCAAACGTACCGAAATAAGTTTTTGTTTTAGTACGTTAAGAGAAAATAGGATTGAGAATAATATAAACGTATCAATACACGTACAAAATAAAAATAATGTACCAATATTAACAATACGTATTAAATCAAACGTATCAAAATTGCAAATAAACGTACCAATTAATGATTTTTGTAAATTCAAACGTACCCGCAGATAATATATACGTAATGTATTGTACCTAATAATAATTCATCAACGATTGTACTTAAAAAAACAGCCCAAAAAAAAATATATAATTTCACAAAAAAAATGAAAAAATTACACGGAGCTTTTATGTTGATCACCAACTATTTGAAAAAGAAAAAACCATTTGGAAAAAGAAATAATATTAAATGTTAAAACATATGATGTAATGTATTGTACCTAATAATAATTCGTCAACAATTATACTTAAAAAAACAGCCAATATATATATATATAATTTCACAAAAATTGAAAAAAATTACACGGAGCTTTTATGTTGATCACCAACTATTTGAAAAAAAAAAATCATTTGGAAAAAGAAATAATATTAAATGTTTGCATAACAAAAAAAAAACTGTGATAAAAAAAAAAACATATTTAGAAGAAGAGAAAATATAATTTAATTACACTTCACTAAATAAGGAAAAGTGCATAATGGAGATAAAATGATAAATTCAAAAATTATTTTAATTTAAAAAATAGAAGTGATTATTGGTCAAAGCACATTAAGCAAATTTTTAAAAGGCATATATGTTTAATCTAAATGATATAGAAGAACTGTAAGAGATTTTAATGTATGATTAATTAAAATTTGATAAAATGTTCAGATTTTTTTTCATTTTTCGATAACAGAAAGTTTAGAGGGAGATTGATTACTCTCACTACAAGTGCTAAGGTATACCTACAATTTTGAATCGGAAAGACTTGCACGTGACTGCAATCTTCTATCAATATGAATTTACAAAAAAAATTATGTAACGCATATCAACAAGAACGGCTAATACACTCAAACTTTAGTGAAACGACACACAAGTGAGGACGGGGTTACTAACTAAGCCAATTGCTACTGCTGAGATAAGAAATCCTTTTCAAACTCTTTGTACGGTTGCAACTTGAGGGAGTGGGGGGGCCTTATGTGGTTTTTCCTCCGGGCTAATTGGTCAGCCTCCTTTATTATTGCAAAAGTTATGATCTCAAGGAGCTGCGTCGGCCAATGAGCTGGAACCACGTAGGAATACAAATCGTGGACCCGAGTGCTGCTGGTTTCCTTCTGATAATTTAGCCAACCGCCACCGCCCTCTAGGCTCACTTATTCTTTCCTTCGTCTCTCAAATGTTAAAAATGATGTAATATCTACTCTCTTGAACGCGCGTGCATTTCACTCTCATTTCTGTAACCTTTAACACCAGAAAACAGGACTAATCTATTGGAGCGTGGGGGCACGCGTTATGTATGCAGTTGGTTCTTTGTGCTGTTGTTGCTCTGTAATACAACAATGCAACCAGGCGGTCCCCTGCAGATGTGACCAACCGCTCCACCGCTATGTCCACCACCTTTGCAAGAAAGATGTAAGGCTGGTTTGATATTACTTTGGGATGCTTTGAAAAAAAAACACTTTCTGTTATGATGTGAGAATAAATTTATTTTTGCTGCTTTACGTTTTTAATTTTTTTTATCCAAAATTATGAAAATAAGCGTTGTTTTTAAGTGTTTACCAAACACCTTTTTTAGCTCAACTTTTTTTTATACTCACTTTTTATAAAAGCACTTCAGTACCAAACCAATACTTATAGGTGCAAGTTGAAAAATATGCGATTTAGATCGTTAAAGTTCGATGTGGTTTGAGTTCAACCATTAATCTCTTTCCAAGGTTTTAATTATCTAGATAACTCTCGACCGTTGATTGATTTAGAATTTCTTTCACTACAACGATTAAGAAGTAAGAGAAATAAATAGTTTTAATCTCGTTGTTCATGATATTAGAATCTAAGATCTATACTTATAAGTACAGAAAAATATTATTAAACTGTAATATTATGTGACATATCGTACTAGAATAATAAAGTACAATCATTTGAAGATGTTTTCATGCATACTGTTTGACAACATACGATCTTTTCAGATTGTACATTACGACTTTGAACATGAACATATGTGACGGATTATTAATCGTTGGCGAATAAAGATTAACCAATAACCAACAGTTACTTATGTGCATATCAACGAGTGTCCAAAGTAAATTTTAATCATTGGAGTTGTTTATGTTTGCGTAAAGAAACTAACCATTTATAGATTTGGGTATCGAAGTAGACTTTGCATTAATCATCCGTTAATATTTACCGCACAAACACGTGAACAATCGTCCAAAAAAAATTGATCACCAAATATAAACACATTTCCAAATTATTTTGCTACTCTACATTACCACATGACAAGAACCCTGTACACATTTTCTCCATATAAATATCTTACATGTTTAACCCAGAAAAATATGTCGTCGTACA